GCCCAAGATGCAGTGGATAACGTTGGTGCCTTTGATGTCTGACTAAGCTCTAAGTGCTCCACAACAACAATAATAAGGAGCTGGTCATGTATTAGATAGAGTATTGGGCTGAGTTTAAATCCTGCAGCAGACATTTACTATCTGAATAAGTCACAACCTCTCATATTAATTTTCTTCATCTATAAAAATGGGGATAATAGTAGGGTTGCTGAGAAGACCAAATGAGATAACATATATAAGGTACTTTTCAAACCTTAGAGAACTATGTAAGTATGAGATACTGTTGTTGTCATTGTTATTATTATCATTAAGCAGACAGACCACTGAGTCCAGTGGTGCATATCTCTTGGACGGCTATTGCAGATGGACAAGAATTGGGCCCAGAATTGAATGGGAGAAGGAAATTGACCTGGATCACAATTGAGAAATTGCAGTGTCTTCAATTATGTTAATCCATTTCTCACTGCAAAAGCTGACATCTTTACTCTCATGGCTCTCCTGGTGTTGCTATACAAGATGTCCCAAAAGTTTGAGTGCAGTTTTAAGCTATTAAAGTTATAGTATTTTCTCTCTTGGGAGGATGAGTTATTGGGAGACTTGGCTGTCTTCCAAGGTGTCAGTAATAAAAGGTTGAGGTTATTGGTTAAACCACCCTGGTTTTCTTTAATAGCTCATTAAAGCTATTAAAGCTTAAAACTATGTTAGGGCCCTGTGTAGCTACAAATCATGGAACATGATAATCTCCAGAGAATCAAAAGTGCTAGTGACCCAAAAGAGTAACAGAAAGACACCTGATGGCTGCTACATAATACCAATGACTCAAATAAATGGTATAAAAGGTGTCGAGATTAAGTATGCATACAATCAGAAAAGGAAGGGGACTGTCCAAGCAATGACAATGATAACAGTTGGGCAATCTGAATGTTGCACTGTAATCCATGAAATACCAAAGGAACTGGAGGAAAGCTTCCAACCCATTGGGTGGATCCTTGATGAAGGATTTATGGAAGGACATAAAAGCATTGCTCCAGAGTGATATGACCTGAGTTCAAAAATCACCTCTGACATTAATGGTGACCTTGGGTTTCTATTCTTCATCAGTAAAATGTAAAAGGTTGAGCCAGATGGCCCCTCAGGTTCCTTCCACTTGTAAAATTATGATTCTATTATTAGGAATAATAAATATAAATAGTATTATCACAGAAGAGGATGAAAGAATTTTGTGGGTAGGTTTACACCAGTGGAGGGAGTTCCCAAGTTGATGAGATGGTAGATTGATCAGAGCTCCAAAGTTCCATATTTCCTTTAATTCTTTAGAATATATTGAAAGAGTAAGAAAATAAAAGAAATATCAAGGGCTATTTTTTCATGGAAGGCATGAGGAGAACATAAGGGATTAAAACAATTCTATATCCTAAAGTCAACTCTAGATGGAAGGCTAGTAGTAGTAAAAAAACAAAAAAAAATCTGTTAAGGGGCATCAAGTGATTTGTGTATGGGCCTTGCACTGGTCATCTGACATGTTTTGAATGAACTTCATCTTCACTTTAATTTCATAGAATCTCCCTCTTTCTTCAAGATACAGTTCGAGCACCACCTTCTATATGAAGCCTTTCCTCCCTTGACTACTAGTGCCATCCTTCTGAAATTATGTTATACTTAATTTATATCTATGTACAATTATGCTGGATATGCTTATTCATGTCCTTGTCTCCCCTGTGAGACTGTAAACTTCTTATGATCAGGGATTATTTTGTTCATTGTACCTGTATCACCAAAGGACCTACCAGAGTGCCTGGCACATAGCAGGTGCTAAATAAATGCTTATTGATTGATTGAAAGAAGTAAGGAATCATCCTGGGAGAATGGATGCATGTCTTCACAGAACCCAACAACTATTTACTTGAATATCTCCTGGGTATGGAATTCCTCAGCCTCTTTCAGCAAACCATTCTAGGTTCTCCCAATGTGATGTAGTTTCTTACTTCTACCCACACCCCCAAATTGCTTGTTATTATCACTCATTCATCATTTAACTTCCCAAAGTCACCTTCTCATGTTTGGTTGTTCGTTTTTGTTTTTTGTGTTTTTGCAAATCACTTTCTGGAAACAGGATTTCTATCTAACCTGCATCTTTAAGTGGACATAGCTCTACAGTATAAGCAGAGATCAAGTATACTACTGCTCACTATAGTCCAATTCCTTCTACTTATAGTTCTTGTAACAGACACAGGAGACATTATATATTCTGTAAACAAAATATGGAATAAATGCATGAATTTAAATGAAAGAATTAATTAAAATACTTAACTGTTATTGATATGTATGATTTTGTAGGTGCAAAGCTGTATAATATTTGCATGTGATTTACATTCAATATTCAGATACCACTTTTGCATGCTGTTTGCATATATTTTAACATATAGTAATTACATATTTTTGCATTTAGATTGCTCAGATGTGACAGTCACTTAACTGAGTAAACCTAGTTAAGTGGTAGAGTGTTGGGAACAGTCATTGCATGTCAATATTTTACAGTATTCTTTCTATAAGATTGTAGGCATTCCCACTCTGCATCAAACCCATGTTCCATTTAGTCCAGTACTCCCTCTCTTATATAGGCATCAGGTTATTGAAGGCCTGGTTATCTTCCCAAGTATCAATAATAAAAGGTTAAGGACATCACCCAATCTATCCTAGTTTCTCTTACTATCTCATTAAGGAGTTTGTATTAAAAAATAAAACAAAACAAAAAATTCCTTTTTTGGAACTACCATTCTAGGGAGTTAATTAGACCAGTCAGGCAAAGGCCACCCCTCCCAAGTACCCATCTTGTTGTTGTATGATCTCCGTCATCCACGTGGGGAATTAACATTGGAAATAGGAAAGTTTTCTTTTAAACTGCCACACTTAAAAAGAAAACATGCTATTTTTTCTTTTCTTTGGTAAAACATGACTTTCCAATGAAACTTCATATATTATGTATGTTAATGGGCTTTTCTGATATTCATCCACTGGTCCCAAAGTAGATATGCACCTAAAGTCCTTATTCTAGTTTCTAGTATTTATTATATTCTCATAACTTCTGGGGTTATAATAAATTCCTCTAGAGTATGGATTAGACTAAATGACCATTAAGGTCTCTTCCAAACCTAAAATTCTATACTTCTATGAAATATGGGTTGGTACTGGGAGATAATGACAAAAAGTTAGTTACCATAAACACTGATGTGCTCTACAATGAAGACCAGAGAATTCTAGCCATCCTGTGGTCCACGACTCAATATCCAAATCTAGGACACATACTGCAAATTTGAGCTCAAAATAGATGGGTTATGGAGAATCTGCAGTTCCTCCAGGGACACAATTCTGACAGAAGGTACTGCAAACATCATAGAGGTTGGGTGGATTAGTTACGGTGAGACAGTTTGGGGTAGTAGAATGAGCATTAGATCTGAAATCAAAGGACCAGGGCTCAAATCTTATCTCTTCTACTTGATCCTTGTGTTTTCTTGGGCAAAGTGCTTTCCTTTTCTAAGGTCAGTTCCCTCATTTGTAAAATGGGGGCACTAAGTTAAACGATATCTAAGAACTCTTCTCTCTGTATGTCCTATGAACCTAGGAACTTATGGGGGACCCTCAGCTATTCTGGAGGTTAGAAGGTAATAAAGACATAAGCCCTTAGATAGACCCCAGATAAGAACAAAGACCTTTGTCAGGGAAAAATTTAGAGAACTGGATGAAAAAATTGTCCCAAATTCAGAGTGGACCATTTTAGTCTGATGTCCATGTTTTCAGGAATTGCTTTATATTGATCCTTAGGATATGGCAAATTCCTAGGTTTAGTATTAGGCACAAGAAAATGGACATTCTGATCCTTGGTATGGATATTCTTAACTCCTACAATATTATCCTCCCCAACTTCCTTGCTTGCTTGCTTGCTTCCTTCCTTTCTACCTTTCTTCATTAATCAATCAACTGATTTATTTACTATAGGGGATCAGTCTCTGGGTTTATTGATATTTCTTCATATTCAATGGCACTTCACAATGGGTTTCCACAGTGGGGGAAGATTATTTCCTTCCCCATGCATTTTCCCTATCTTATATTGTAGCAGCTCCATATCCAATACCAGAAGAGTAGTAATTTTGCCAAGCAGCTCTGAAGCAAGCCTGAGCCATGTCAAGAAAGGGCCCAAGCAACACCATCTTCCAAGATTCTCTGCAGAGTTTCTGCTTATCTCCATTGGCCTTTATCTCCAGGTGCTCCTAAAATTCTGTGTGCTCTGGTACTGTTAAGAATACATACATTCAAAAAAGTGGCTAAAATGTCCACACCCTTTGACCTGGAGATTCTATTGCTAGGCATATACCCCAAGGAGGTCACTGATAAAAAGAAAAACTCCATGTATACCAAGAATATTTATAGCAGTGCTTTTTTTATGCCAGTAAAGATCCAGAAACAAAGTACATGATCATTGATTGGGGAATGCTTACATAAATTCCCATATATGAATATAATGGAATATTTACTTTGCTTTAAGAAATAATAAACATGATGAATATAGAGAAGTATGGAAAGACTTAGATGAACTGCTACAGAGTAAAATAAGCAGAGCCAAAAAAAATTTTGCACAGTGACTGCAACAAGGTCAATGCCAAGAACAACCACACACACACACACACACACACACGCACACACACACACACACAAGCAAAGATGAATATTGCAAAATTATAAAGAATAAGCTTGGTTATGGAAGAAAGGTATGAAAAGACATCCTCTCACTCACCCCCTCAACTCTTTTTGCAGAGGTAGATAGGGTGTATTCACAGGTGTGGAACCGATTATGACATCAGATTTTTTTTTTTTTGATGCATTGATTGGATTTACTGATTTTTTTTCCTATTCTTTTTTTTTCTTTTAAAAATATTATTTTTACAAGGGACGGCTCACTGGGAAAGAGAAAGGATACAAAAGGAAATCTAGGTGGTATAAAAACAAAAGATGTCAATAAAATCTATTTCTATAAAGAATGCATGAATTTATGTTGTCTGCTCTATTTCATCTTGCATCTATTTCACACAGGTTTTTGATATATGGGGTTATAATGTTCAAGGAAGAAGACTCCGAGTGAGGAACCAACCAACAGACAACTCTGTCTCCTGATCTTTTCTAAAGTTTCCTGATGTTCTTCACGCTTCTCTCTTCCAGTTGTGGATTTGACCTATTATTGACAGTGTTGATCAAACAAACACATGTTAGTCCAGGGATGATTATCTCCCCACCTCTTGCTATCTCTGTTTCTTTTCTCTTTCCCAAAATCTGAGGGAAACTCATGAAAATATCAATTGTCACACGCAAATTTTCACGAGGTGCAAACCTAATGTGTTTGAACTACTTTGGACTCATGATAATCCTAAGCATGAGATAAAATCAGCCTATAAAAAAACAAAACAGGAAGCTGCCTTAGGGCTGGAAAAGTTAGCTCTGGCAGATCATAGATAGGAGTCTTCTCCTGTCCTTCAAATACTCTTACAGTATGTTTCCCTATACGCTTGCATCTGTAACAGCAGCAGACCCTTTCATATCTCTTCTTCTTTTGATCTTTTCTTTTTTGTGTGTGGGAAGCACCCAAGGAGCCTTCATAGAAATCCCTCCTGATAATCAATGTTTCTCCAATTTTATGACACATAGTAGGCATTTAATAAATGTTTCCTGACTTGTTGGATGAAATGTTCATTCTTCCTTGCTATGTTATCTGTCTATCAATTGACTGAGTATTTATTGTACCCATTATATGCCCAGAATTGTGTTGGGTATGGGTTGGGCCATAGTGGGATAGGGGAGAAGCTATAAAGCTGTTTAAGGCATTCCCTGCTCTCCATTTTGAAGTACACATATAGACACACACACACAAAATAATTCAGAAGGCTTATTGTTCCCTTCTAGGCTCCTCTCATATGTCAGATTTCCTCTGTCCCTGCTCTAAATCTGGAGAATTTGCCAACAGTTTTATTTTAATACTCAAATGATCAGGCTTCTATCTGATCACAATTGTCCCTGAAGAGGTGCTTGCTGCAGTGAATGTGGGTGCAAGGCCTCTGAGTCTGCTTGGGAAGATTTCCTCTCCCAGTAGAGGCCCAAGTCACCATTTTTTTTGCAAGCATTTCTCTGCTCCTGTAGCCTTTGCCCCTCTTGATCAAAGCTAGAATATAACACCAGTAGTTGATCTTGTTCTGCTAGTTGATACCCAAGTAACTGCGCTTGAGAATCCTTCCAATTTCTGACTTTCTGGATAGCTACTTGCTGAGCAGGAGCACCGATAGTGAGGAGGTGGTCTTGGGACGGAAGGTGAGCAATGCCATCCACTGGGGCAATGCTTTCTTCTCCCCTCGCCACCTCCCTTTGCACAGTCCGGACTGTTCTTCTTGACAATCCATTCGGTGACTGTGGATAAGGCAGCTGGTTCAGCTTGCCTGACATGGTCTTCTGTCTCGTACCTGTGAAAGAAAATAAAGGAAGAAATGGCTTTATTTATAGCCCCAACTTACCTTTCCAACCTTAATATCTAACACTCCCCTTCCCGCACTTTGTAGTCTAATCAAATCACTTCTAAACAATGCTCTGCTTCCTGTTTCCATGCCTTTTCATCACCTCTCCTTCACACCAAAATGCACTCTTCCCTTGCTTCTGCCTCTCCTAATGCCTAGTTTCCTTCAAGATGAATGAAGCTCAAGTGGCACCTTTTTTAGGAATTTTCCTAATCCTTCAGGTGCTAATGCCAAATCACCTTATCTATTATATATATGCACCTATGTGAAGACATTATGTCGTGCATATATCATGTTATATGTCCTAACGATCCTTTCTAGGTTTTGGGTGATAAAACATATACAAAAATAAATGTCTTGTTTTCTTGTTTACTGTCATAAAAGAAGAAATATTTTAAGCCATATAGGAGAGGTCCAAAACAAATACCTTAGCAAGTCATTAAAGAAAGAACCAACTTTTGGTTTGAGAGATCAGGGAAGGTTTCATGAAGCAGGTAAAAGGTGAACCAGATATTGACTGCAATACAAGATTTTAAGAGATGTGGACATTCTAGGGAGAAGGAGTAAACTGAAAAAAGTCAGAGTGAGCCCAGCTACTATGTTCCAAAGGTCTACTTTATATTTTTATATGTTCATTTTCTCCTTTTCTATCTAAGTCCTACTTTAAGGAACTTTTGCTACTTTCAATTATTTGTTCCTTCACCCATCTCTGCATTTTTTAATAGTCAATAATATAATTCCAGCACATAAGGCTTTCTCCTCTTCCATGTTTCATTTGCATCCATAGGTCTCACCTCTTACATTCAGCATCCCCTTACTCACAGAATCACAAATTTTGAAATAGAAGGGAATATAGAAGTCAAATAGTACAATCTCCTCATTTTAGAGTTGAGGAAACAAGGTTAAAGAAGTTGAGTGACTTGCTTAAGGTCACACAGCTAGTAAATCAACAGGCAAGATTTGAACTCAGGTTGTTGCTGTTGTTATTGTTCAATCGGTTTTTCAGTCATGTCCACTTCTTTGTTGAGCCTTTTTGGGGTTTTCTTGGAAGATATTGGAATGGTTTGCCATTTCCTTCTCCAGCTCATTTTACAGATGAGGAAACTGAGTCAAACAGGTTTAGATGACTTGTCCAGGATCACATAGCTAGTAAGTGTCTGAGGTCAGATTAGAACTCAGGTCTTCCTGACTCCAGGCCCAGGGTACTCTCTCCACTGCACCACCTAGCCAAATCCGGCAGTCTTGTGCTGTAACACTCTGTCTCACTTCATAAAAAGACAATGATTTTCTGACACACGCAGGTCCCATGATTGCTTTTTATTTTACCTCACTTCTAAATTCATTATCCCCTTTCCTTGCACTTACTGTAAATACAGGTAAATTCTACAAAAGTTTACCCTGACCAACATAGCTTCTTAAGTATTTCATTAAAACAAAATCTCACAGTAAATTATAAAACTCACTTGTAATATTATTTGGCCATTTGTAATATTTATAACAGTTTCTGAAATCTATTATATATTGAACACAAGCTCCATTTTACACTTAGACAATAGAGACAATTTATATATAGGCCATAATTTTCTGACATATACCACTCTTATGATTGCCTCTTTACCTCACTTCCAAATTTATTAACCCATTTCCTTGCATTTCTTTTAAATACAGGCAGATCCTACAAAAGGTTGCCTTGACCAACAGAGTTTCTTAAGCACTTCATTGAAACTAAATTGCACAGTAAATTGACAAAAGTCAGTTATAATATCATTGGGCCAATTGCTCGTTTGACATATTTATAACACGGTTAATAAAGCCTATTACATGTTGAACTTTTAAGTTCCATTTTATATAGAGAAGGGCTGGGTTACTCACAACCATGGGGGTAATGTCCCAAGTGGTCAGTCCATATCACAGTCTACTGAGCCTGTAGTGGGAGGAGGGATATGGGGTGGGAGGGTCATTATTTCTACAAATCCAAAAACTTTTAATTTGCTGAGATTACCCCATGTCTTATTATGACCCTAGACTTCATTTGTGAAGTATCTGGTTAACAATACAACAGTACCCCTAGAACAAAGCTCCTCTGGATTTGGGACATCCAACTGTTTTTCCTTGTTAGGTGAGTTTCAAGTGCCCTGATTAGGGACATTTTTTTTTTCCTTTGCTACTAGTTAAATGCTATTCTCCTGAATAGCATTAGTAATCAGAGTTGCCTTGGATACAAAAATGCCTCCTACAAGTAGTAGCCCTGGGATTGATCTTTGCTCTAGCTATGCCCAGGTGACTGGCCCATGAAGAGCTCAGATGTAAAATTAAAACTGGCCATTCCAGGTGCTCATGTACCACCTGGGATGTCTGCCTGGCACCAGCTTCAAAGCTGCTAACAAATCAGGATCATCTAATGGTCAAAGTACAAAAAAAGTAGAAACAAACCATAAAAAATGATCAGCACTTTGATTTTCCTCTCAATAAAACCAACTTATTCTGTGTAAGAACATTCACACCATAAACCATCCACATTCTAACCACTGAAGGCATTGTTCTCCCTGTTTAGAGAGAAAGCATTGGAAATCTTTTTTTTTCCTCCTTTCTTTTCTTCTTCAAGTCAGAAGCTATTCATAAAAGACCAATACAGGATTGGATTTCCTTTGCAGACCAAAAATACATTTTTTTTAAAAAAATCTCCCCATGAATTATTTACATGGCAGCTCCAATCAGCAACATACCTGACAGACTCCCCAGCTGAAATGAAAGTTCACTATGTAAAGGTGCCAAGGGAGAATGGCAGCCTCCCACTGCGAGTTTATAGACAGAACTAAGTCAGCACACATTATATGTCAGAGCCAACATCAGAAAGAATCAGATCCTTTGATCTCAGACTTCCACAGGAAGCTTAGATCTCAGACAAATTAGATAAAAAATGAATTTATAGCAGATATGTGTCCTAAGGCACACAGCTGAACACTTGGGTTTTGGGGAAAGGAGGATAGTGAGTATCAAAACATAGAAATCAGTAGCATGTTTCTCCCTCCTTCTCCCTCCCATCCCACCCCACCACTGCCTTGGGGTTACATGCTCATTAAAATAAGAAGATGGGATTCCAACTTACCTCTTCCTGTGTCTTATATAATCCTTACTTTTTTTTTTTAAATCCCACAACAACAAAACAAATCCCAGCTATGAGAATGGTGTGATGTAACCTGGCCAAGTCTTAGAGATGTAATGATAAAGGGGTTTGGGGCTCCCTGAGGGGAAAAGATGTGGGTGATCTATTTCTGCTCTCCCTAGGAAAGCAGGAGCTCACATTGTGTACTCTTCCATGACCACCCAGTGTAGCTTGTTGATTTCCCATATCCAGGCAAAGCCAAGTACAGTAGAAAGACCTCTTGATTTTGGATCAAACCATATGGGATTGAATCTTGGTTCTGCCATTTGCTTTCTAGGGAATCTTGAAGAATCATTTCACTTCTCTGGACCTCTGTTTCCCCGTCTGTGAACTGAGGACTTCAGATGATCTCTAAGGTCACTTCTATTTTCTGTGCCTTCACACTTTTCAGTTACAAATACATACATTGTACATGGTGTCTTTAAATCTGGTTTTGATTGTAGTCATCTGAGTTTTTTTTTAAACCAATGAGAGCGTGTAAAGATATCATGCATATTTTACCTGCAAAATTATAGTGAACTTCAGTCTTTTTGGAAGGGGCAGCCAAGATGATTCAGGTGCCTCTTTTTGTCTAGTAATATTATATATGTTACTATACTTTGAACCTAGAGTTCAAAAGAGAGAACTGGGTGAGGACTAATACATTAGATGATCAGTGGATATAGAGGATAATCTCCCTTCACTCCAGTTTTTCATTTGTCACATAAGGGAGAGAGTCCTGATATGTGTCCCCACCCCCGACCTTGAGTTACAAACATAGGAGTCTAAGAGAATTGCTTCTCATTCTACCTTTGCTATGTACACTATTTGTTTGAGATTATTTTGATATTTAATATTTTAATATTTGATATTTTTCCTATTTGTTTGGCCACAGCAGTGTTGGTAAATGTTTAACAAGTGGCTCTGCAATAAAATGTATATAGGACTCTTTTAAGTTTGTTGCTGATTGTTCAGTCATTTTTTCAGTCTTGTAAGACTCTTTGTGATCCTATTTGGGGTTTTCTTGACAAAGATACTAAAGTGGCTTGTATTTCCTCCTCCAGATCATTTTTACAGATGAGGAAACTGAGGCAAATAGTGACTTGCCCAGGGTCACACAACTAGTAAGTGTCTGAAGTCAGATTTGAATTCACGAAGATGAGTCTTCCTCACTCCAGACTCAGCAACCTATCAACTGAGCCACTTATCTACCCTGCTTTTAAGTTTAATCTGCATTAACATTTTCTCCATCCTTTTCTTAAATCTAGGCCAATAAAATAAATCATGCTCTGATATGCAGCTTTTGCTAATTTTTGAGGAGTTAAACTGAAAATTTAACAAGCTTTCAAACCTTTTAGAGCTGGCTTTGGTGCATCATTGACTAGGCAAGTCAGTTCCCTGCTTTGAACCTCAGTTTCTTCTTCATGAAAATTGTGATCATAATGCCTGTTCTGCCTATGTCATAGTAACTTTATGAAGATTTAATAAGATAATACACGTAACAGCATTTGGTAACCATAAAAAAGGATGTAAGGGTAAGCAATTATCAGTATTTTACTATGTTATGCATCTAGCAAGTGATCAATAAATATTAGTTGAATGAACTGCAGGGCAAGAGAGTGTCATAAACAGGATGGCACAGTGGATATCTTGAGAATCAGCCTGAGTCAGGAAGACTTGGGGTAAAGTTTGGCTTCAGATATATACTGCTTATATAGGCCACACAACCTAAAAATATCTCAGACAGCTGTGTAAGAGTTTACAATCTAAAGTAGGTGTTTGTCTACATTAGAAGAGGGAGTTT